ATTATTCTTCTTTTTATTATTCTTACTATTAGTATTCTTCTTAGTAGTACCATTATTATTATTCGTATTATTATTAGTATTATTATGATTAATAATATTCTTAATATTAGTATTAGTATTATGCTTCTTCTTATTCTTCGTATTATTATTCTTCCTCCTCCCCCTCCTCCTCCTCCTTTCCTTTCCTTTCCCTCATGAGTAACTCCTCCCTGTCGCACCCCGAAGCGTGCGGAGGAGGAGGAGGAGGGCCTCGAGGCTCGCACCAGCCCCGGCAGGCCCCTCGGCAGCCGAGGGGCCGAGCGAGGGGAGAGCGCGGCCTGCTGGCCCGGGACTCGCTCCTGAGGGTCGGCGAGGGCCGCCGCCGCGCGGCCGGCCTCTCGGAGCCACCGGGGTGCCCCTGGCCCGAGGTGCCTCCAGGATTTTTCCACGGAGGCCCCCACGGCCTCCAGACAGGCCTCGGAAGAAATTAGCGAACACTCATGCCGAGTTCCTGTGTCAATGCCCCCACCAATGATCACTGTTGGCGGTGGGTTGGATGAGTTGCACTTCGACCGCAGCCTTCCCCGCGCGTGCCGACTTTGAGCTTGGGGGAGAGGGAGAGTGTCCACTAATTGCTTCCCTCTACCCGAGCACCCCATCACGAGGCCCTGAGCGCCCCAGGGGGCTTCGCAGTGGAGCGAGAAGCTGGGGGCCCCCTGGAGGCCAGGGGCGCCTTTGTGTAGCAGCCCCTGAGGGGAGGAGGGCGACCTCTCCGTCGTGGGAGCGATCTCAGCATCGAGCGGACGAATCGGCTCGCATCGGAGCAGGCATCGGGTGATCAGGCGGGCCCCGGGACCCTGGAGGTAGGAGGAGGAGGAGGAGGAGGAGGAGGAGGACGAACCGTGGAGGCGACCCAGGACGAGCCGAAATCCTGGGTAGAAATCCGTGGATCCAGGCCCCGGTTCGCTCAGGACTCCCTTCCTGCACGCCGCATCCTCACGCCCGATGTCTCGTTCCAGGTCGGTCTTGGCAGGAGCTGCCGGCCATCGGCTCGGATCGACTCCAGCATCGGATCGGCCCGCACCAGGACGGAGTCGGAACCGAACCGGATCGGCCGCGCCAGGGTGAGCAACGGCGTCGTGCAGGCATCGGGCCGCGTCGGAGCGTCGGAGCATCGCAATCGAGTCGGATGGGGCTGGTCCAAGTCGATATCGGATCGGATCTACCGTATCGAAGCAGAATCGGCGATCGACGCTTTACACAGGCCCCTGCTCGCGCCTCAATCCCACCAATGGGCCAGAGAGGGGGCATGGCTTCGGGGACGCGAATAACGTGTAATGTACGAAGGTGTATGACCTCGGGGACGCGAATATGGCGTAATATACTAGGGGACGCGAATCTCTAGTTTTTTTCGTGTCCCACGCCCTCCCAGGAATTCAGACAACGCGATCTGGGCGTGGTAAAAAAGCTGGTTTGGGGCTCCCCCGCCCTCGCGCGTTCAGCAACAATCCGCCGGCCCCCTTGCGGGGCCACCAGGCTGCGAGGCCGAGGATTGCAGTTTCCACTGTTACAATCCTGCTGTCTGCTTCCTTGCTGTTAATTGTTGCTGAACGCGAGGGGGGGAGCCCCAAACCACCTTTTTTGCCACGCCCAGATCGCGTGGTCTGAATTCCTGGGAGGGCGTGGGACACGAAAAAACTACATGAGATTCGCGTCCCCGAGGCCATAATCCCTGGTAAATTGGTTCCCGAGGCCATAAACATTTTTAGAATATACACTATTCGCGTCCCCAAGGCCCTAATCCCTCGTGAATTACGCAACCCCTCGTAAATTACGCAATGGCCGCGCCCCCGAGACCATAAACCCATGTAAATTACGAAATACTCGCGCCCCTGAAGTCATAAACCTTTTAAAATGATTCAATGTTCGCGTCCCCAGGGCCATAAACCTTGTAAATTACAACATAATTGCGCCCCCGATGCCAAAAACCTTTGCACATTACACAAAACTCGCATCCCCGAGGCCACAAACCTTTGTAAATTACGCAACATTTGCACCCCCGAGGCCATGAGCCCTAATAAATTCTACAATAGTTGCGTCCCCGAGGCCACAAACCCTCGCAAATTATACCAGATTCGCGTCCCCGAAGCAATAAACCATTGTAAATTACTTAATGCTCGCGCCACCGACGCCATAAACCATCGTAAATCAATATTGGCCATCGCGTGAAGTCCCGACATTGCTTAACGTCAGCGTCCAGACATCCCAACACAGCTCTGGCAAGTTCCATTCTAAGAGAGGGGGGCCGGCGGCATGGGGGCGAAGCCCTTACGGATAATCTCGCCACCGATTTGCGCCGACAGTTGCAGAAGCAAACGTCTCAACACCAGCATGGCGAGGATGCGCGCGATGGAGCTGACGCGGCAATGCTTCGTTCAGAGTTGCAGAGGCCCGTTTACGAAGGATGAATTTGATCCCGCTGGCCAGCTGATCACTGTTGCGGCGAGCGGTCAGTGTCCCCACGAGCGTCAGATGGCTCAAGGGTGCCCCGCCTCCGCCCTGCGTCCGCGTTGCGGGGGTGCCAGCGAGACCCTCTTCCATCGGATCTGGGAATGCCCCTGCACTGAGGATGACCCGCATTTGCCCAGTCTGAGCACCTAGTCGCCCAGGCCAGAGCCAACCACGACGCGAACCCGAGCCTCTAGTTAAGAGGGCTACGTCCCCAGAGCCTCACGTCCCCTGTGTTTCGGGACGGCAGGGTGGACGTGGAATTGGTGGTGGGAAACTTGGACGCTGACATTGAAGCCTTCCGAGAACCCGACTGTTTTTTGAATTTCGTTTGGGGATGACTCAAGAGGCCAGTTTAGCAACAAACCCAGCCGTAGACGGGCTGGTGCGGCCGTCATCGTAATGGAACAAGCCCCTGGGGGCTTGCGGAGGGGTAGACGGTTTCGCGGGCTGGAACTCGAGCTCAGGTTCGTCACTGACAACGCTGCCATATAGCCTTCCTGGCGAAGTGGGATGGGGAGGTCCCAATGTTGTGGTTGCCGTCTCAAATGGACCCTGAGGATCCCGACCTCTCCCCACAGGAGCGGTTGCTCGCCACTGGTGACGGTTTCGTTGATACCCTTTCGGGTGAAGCCGACCACTTCTCGTGGACACATGGCCTGGCGGGCAAGCGTCCTGCTGACACTGACCTTTGGGACTGCACGGTGGCGCCCGTTAGGCACCGAGCTGCCAAGCCCTAGTGGACTCCATAGTGTTGCCCCGTGGGTCGATGTGCGACTCTCCCTGGCCCGTGTCGGGCGCGAGGGCCTCCACGAGGCCCTTCGAAGGAGCAGGCACTGTTTGGTCCGTGCGAAGCGCAAGTGGCTGTGCTCGCTTCGCCACACGGTTGTTCCCGCGGGACGCGTGTCGGAGTTCGAAGCCGCGCCCCAAGACCTCTCGCTTTTCAGTGATAACGGGGTGGTGCGGACTAGCGGGACGGTGACGGGGGGGGAGCTTGTCATCCTTTGCACCTTCTTGCGTGCCTGGCCCAAGTTTGGGCTGCACTTTTGTATGGTGTGTTCGGTAAGACTGCCACGGAGGACCCACGCCACTTAAGTGAAGAGTGCTCCCTGCCCCGCGGCAAGAAACGCCACGAGAACCTCAAGCGGATCCGACAACGTCTTTTCCAAGGCCACAGCGGCCCGTCGCGGGTTGTTAACGCTCGTGGCGAGGGCATTTGTCAGGCGGGAGACTGTCCGGGTTGGGCTGCCGCCTTGGACAGTTCGTGCCTGAATTCGCTGCCACTGAATGGAAATCAGCGAATTCCAGCGAATTCCTCCTTCTCGTCCTCCTCATCATCATCCTCCTCCTCCTCCTTCTCGTTCTCGTCCTCGTCCTGGTGTCTGGCCCGGCCGATCCAAAACTTGTTGCACTGTATGCTTCTACGCTGTCCTGATCAAGGCACCTCGCCTGAGCATCGTTCCTGGATGGACTGGTGGACATACCAGACGCGTCAAGAATTCTCTGAGCCCGTGCACGGGCGAGTGTGCCGCAAGCTGCAGGTGGAGGGGAGGTGCGCGGCAGCGGCAGGGGGTCCTCCGGGCAGCGGGGCCGGTGCCAACGTCCCTATCAGCAGGCTGTCGTACACCCGGATGGACACGGCGAAGTGCAGGCTCACAATGACGAAGCCAATCCGATACCTTAGCCGCATGGGGCTGTTTGGACCAGAGTCGCCCGCCTTCCGCCTCACCGTTTTCCCTGCATGTGTGGCCGCGCAGTGGGACATTATCTAGCAAGAGCAGACAATCCAAAGCGACGCCGCCACATTGTATAGTATTTGTCCTTGCGGTGGCGTGCTTGGTGTATGTATACACCTGCATATGCACGCGTGCTCTCACATTACCTGCATATGTGTATGTACGTATACATGTGTATGTATACGTAGCACCCCGCAGATGCGGGTAAGAGTGAGGGGGCGGTGGGGACGTCGCAGTCTGCGAGACTCTGGAGAAGCCCGCCGCAGGCGCTAAAGTTTCACAAATTATACAAGGAGCCCGCCGCAGGCGCCGATTTTTCGTTAAACCAATGTGGGTAGGTCGCGGGTGGGTCGCAGGTGGGTCGCGGCTGGGTTGCGGGTGGGTCGCGGATGGGTCGTGGGTGGGTCGCGGGTGGGTCGCGGGTGTAGAGGGCAGAAAATTCACCCCGTAATAATCATCCCGACAAGCGAAGCCGTTTAGTAAACGCACACAAGGAATGAATCGAACAGGGCAGGGCTGTTTAGTAAACGCCCAGGGCCGTTTAGTAAACGTCAATTGTCGGGTCCGGGTGATTTTTCCTCACTTGAGGGTGGGTCGCGGGGTGGGTCGCGGGTCGCGCGGTGGGTCGCGGGTGGGTCGCGGGATGGATCGCGGATGGGTCGCAGGGTGGGTCGCGGGTGGGTGGGTCGCGGCTGGGTCGCGGATGGGTCGCGGATGGGTCGCGGGGTGGGTCGCGGGGTGGGTCGCAGGGTGGGTCGCGGGTGGGTCGCGGGTGGGTCGCGGGTGGGACGACGACAAACAACAACAACAACAACAACAACAACAACAACAACAACAATCACTTTACCCGAACGCTCAGTGTTCTCACCAGTGCCAGGGTTTTCATGCGACGCCAGCCAATACCCCCACTTTGTGGGGGGGCAGTGCAAGCTCTACCAAATATCCACACGACTCTTCGCCACCACCCACACCCAGCTTCCCGCCCTATGACGTTCGGACACTTCACTTCGTGGCCTGCGGACGACCGTGGCTACTACACTGGCGTGGAGTACACACCCACAGAAGTTGTTAGGACAGCGCGCGCGGGTAGAAATTTTGAAAAGTCGTGCAGGTGTTTTTCGAGGACCTACGGTGCGATTCGTGTGATTTTATGATGCGCGGTGCTAAAATTCTTAAGAAGCCCAATGGTTTTTGGAGATTTCGGCGTGCGCGCGCGAAGAAAAAACGAATGTGTCCCGCATGGTATTATTTGACAGGGATGATGGCCCTGGCAGGTGCGCAACCGTTGTCGCAGAAGTTCGAAAAAGTTGCTCGCAAAAGCCCGTTTGACAGAAATGTTTAAAAAGTGTTGGGTTTCCTACGAATCCGCAAGAGCGCGCGGGATGAGATTTTGACATTTTTTGTTGAAAAACCATTGGTTTTTTGATGTTTTTATGTTAAAATCGCTGCGAACACTAAGCTTTTGGAAGGATTTCGTCTTGCGCGCGCGAATGTCCACTTTACCTTATTTTTTGCAAGGGATTCTTGAAATTTGATTATATTAGAACAAGAAATGTCATTTTATAGTGTTTTTTGCAAGGGAAAACGGACTACAACAAAACAACCGGATCTGGATCACATCGTTTTACCTGAGGCTTCCTCACGAAAATGATGAAAACGTGGCTGCGGCCTAGGCGGCGCAGGGGGGGCGTGCACCAGGGGGCCCAACAATAATTATTCTTTAGAATTAATAATGTTCAACAACAAGGACAGGGACCTTCCCTGAGCCCGGGCGCTCGGGTTCCTCCAGCGCTCTCCTCTAGGGGGGGGCAGGAATCGTCACTGGGCCCCGGGGTCCCCAACCCCCTCCCCCCCAAACAACAACAACAACAACAACAACAACAACAACAACAACAACAACAACAACGCCGGGAATAAATAAAAATGAAAGAAGGAGGAGTCCCTCAGGACTCCGGTACTGCATCGGAATGGTGACTTAGGTGTGCGCGCTAGAGAAGCAAGGGATTCGATAGAAACCCTACAGGGATCCTATAGAAACCCTACAGGCACCCTATAGAAACCCTACAGGCATCCAGTTGAAACCCTATAGGGATGCAATTTTAAAAACACCGAAAAAATACAGGCACCCTATAGAAACCCTGTTGGCATCCTATAGAAACCTTACAAGGATCCTATAGGAACCATAAAAGCATCCGATAGAAGCCCTACAGGCATCCTACAGAAACCCTACAGGCATCCTACAGAAAACCTACAGGCATCCTATAGAAACCCTACAGGCATCCTACAGAATCCCTACAGGCATCCTATAGAAGCCCTACAAGCATCCTATAGAAACCCTACAAGGCATCCTATAGAAACCATACTGGCATCCGATAGAAACCGTACAGGGACCCCTATAGAACCCCTACAAGGATCCGATAGAAACCGTACAAAGACCCGGTAGAAACCCGACCAGGATCCTTGTAAACAGAAACCTACAGGGATCCGATAGAAACCATACACGGGCCCGATAAAAGCCTGGCAGGGAGGGATCTTATAATACATATATATATATGTTTAGTAAGAAATGATCATATAAAACAGACCCCACCGGGATTCTATTGAAACCCTACAAGGATCCTATAGAAACCGTACAAGGATCCTATAGAAACACGACAGGGATCCTATACAGAACCGAGAGGTGTCCTACAGAAAACCTGTAAGGATCCGACAGAAACCCGATAAGGATCCGACGGACACCATATAAAGATCCTACAAAGCACCTTTTTTATAAGGATCCTACAGAAACCCTATAAGGGTCCTACAGAAATCCCACAGAAACCTTATAAAGAGTCCTGGAAAAAAACATGTAAGGATCCTCCTTCTCAATCCTACCAGCTGACATAGGATCCCTATAGGGATCCTACCAGCTTGAACAAGATCCTTATAGGAATCCGACCAGCTGCAATGAGATCGCTACAGAGATCCTAACAGCTGTCATAGGATCCTAATCGGTATCCTACCAGCTGCAATAGGGTGCCTACGGGGATGCTACCAGCTGTAATCGGATCCCTACGAGGATCCGATCAGATGTAGCAGGATCCCTGTAGAGGCCCTACCAGCTGCAATCGGAGCCCCACAAAGATCCTACCAACTGTCAGCGGACCCCATATACGGATCCTGCCAGCTGTAGCGGGATACATGCAGGGCTCCTACCAGCTGTCATAAGATCCCTATAGGGATCCTACCAGCTGCGATAGGACCCCGATAAGGACCCGACCAGCTGCAATCGGATCCA